AATCTGTCTATCTTTGCCTTAAAAATATACAATGAGGCAGCCTTAACTGCTTCACTGGGCAGGGAATTCCACAGATTCACAACTCTTTGGTGAAGAGGCTCCGCCTCAATTCAGTCCTAAATCTGCTCCCCCTAATTTTGTGGCAATGCCCTCCTGTTCTAGTTTCTACCCACCAGTAGAAACAACCTCCCAGCTTCTACCTTATCTATTCCCTTCATAATTTTATATGTTTCAATAAGATTCACCCCTTATTTTTCTACATTCCAATGAGTATAGTCCCAGTTTACTCAATCTGTCCTCCTAATCCAAAACTCTCAATTCCAGAATCAACCTAGTGAACCTCCTGCATCTCCTCCTGTGCTGGTACATCTTTCTCAACTAAGGAGACCAAAACTGTATACAGTACTGCAGGTGTGGCCTCACCAGGACTTTATAAAGCTGCAGTAGAATTTCCCTATTTTTAAACTCCATCCCTCTAGCAATGAGGACAATATTCCATTTGCCTTCTTAATTACCTGCTGCATTTGCAAACCAACATTTTGAGATTCATGCACAAGGACATCCAGGTCCCTCTGCACAGCAGCATGCTGCAATTTTTCATCATTTAAGTAATAGTCCATTTTACTGTTATCCATACCAAAATGGATGACCTCACATTTACCAACATTGATTCCATCTGCCAGACCCTTGCCCACTCACTTAATCTATCTATATCCCTCTGTAGACTTTCAGTGTCTTCTGCACACTTTGCTCTACCACTCATCTTAGTGTCATCTGTGAACTTTAACACACTACACTTGGTCCCCAAATAAATCTCAGTTGGCTGCCAAATGTATCATCTGCACAGCACTTCTGCTTTCAAATTGGAACAAATGTTTCAGTCTTGTCTTTGACTAGGCTTCCAACAAGCATGGGTATATTAATGGAGATTCTTTCTGCTATTACTTATTTAATTGATCACTACTGTTCATGACTAAATGCTGTAGAACCTCGATCTGTTTCATTGCTCACGGGATTACTTAGCTCTGTCTATTGCATGCTGTTTCTGCTGGTTAGTACACAAATAGTCCTGTGTTGTAGTTTCTCCAGGGTGACCACTCATATTTAGGTATGCTTAGTGTTACTGCTGGCATGGCCTCCTGCATTCTTCATTGAAACATGGTTGATCCCCAGGTCTGATAGCAATGGTGGGGTGGGAGATATAACAGGTTATGAGGTTAAAGATTGTGGCTAAGTACAATTCTGCTGCTGCCGATGGCCCCACCTGTGTTTCATGAATGCCTAATTTTGAGTTGCTGAATCTAATCGATATCTTTCCCATTTAGCACACTGGTAATGCCATGCAACTCAATGAAGGGTATGTGAAGACAGATATAGTCTCTAAAGAAATTAGTGGTGGTCTGTCCTACCAATAAACCGTCTTCTAAAGCATTAACTTGCCAGTTGTATAAAGTATCATAGTTAAAATCATCCTTCAGTGCACATTTTTCACAATCAAGTTTTTTTTATCATTGGTGTTTCTTTGGTTTTAAACCTGAAATAAACAATACATTATACTAACTGATCAGAATGTAAGTTTCAAGTCTTCTTTGCTAGACAGAACAGTTTTCCTGATAGTCTGTACAGGTTTCAGGGTCACTTAGCTCAGTTGGCTAGAAGCCTGACAGCATGGGTTCAATTCCCAAACTGGCTGAGGTTACTATGAAGGACTGTCCTTCTCGACCTTGCATGACGTATGGTGACCCTCAGGTTGAACCACTACCAGTGATTTCTCTCTCATGAGAGAGTAGTCCTATGGCCTGGCAGGACTATGGAAACTTTACTTTTTCCAGACAAGCGACCTCACAAAATAGAAGTGACCATTCGATCTCTTGAGCCTATCCCCTACTCAAAAAGACATTGGCTCATCTGTTAGTGTTTCAAATTCCACATTTTCATATAACCTTTGATTCTCTTGCCCAACAAGATTCTATCCCCTTCCACCTTTAAAATACTAATTGACTCACCTCCACTGCCTTCTGAGGCAGAGTTCCAAAGTTACACAACCCTTGGAGATAACAATCCCCTCTGAACAACCCCTAACACTTTTACATCCTTCCTTAAATAAGATCAGAACTACACACAATTTTTGAGATATGATTATCACCAATGCCCTGTCAAGCCTAAAGTATAACATCTTTACTTTAATATTCAATTCCTTTTGTAATAAAAGACATCATTCCATTCACTTTAATTACGTTCTGTAATTCTATATAAACTTTGTGTGACTCATGTACAAGAACACATAGATCCCTCGATACCTGGGAACTCTGCAGTCACTCCCCTTTAAATAATACCCTGAATTTTTATTCTTCCTGCCAAAGTGAACACTTCACACTTCTCCACATTATACTCCATCTGCCAGACTTTTACCTGTTCACTCAGTATACCTATAGGAATCTGTAACATATTTATGTCCCTTTATGACATTCTTACTATCTTTCTGTCAATCGCAAATTTACCATGGCTTAGCTCCCCTCATCTGTCATAATATTCATTATAAAACCTTGAGGCCCTAGCACAATCACCTGCAACATGCCACTTGTCACATTCTGTCAATCAGAAAAAGAACCATTTATGTATACTCTATTTTCTGTCAGCCAGCCAATCTTCTATATATACTAATCTGTAAATCTCTATACCATGAACTGATGCTCATGAATAATCTTTCATTGTCAAATGCTTCCTAGAAATTCAAATACCGTAATTAATGGACTTCCCTTCATCCATAGTGCATGTTACTTCACCTTCAAAGATTTTCCAATAAATTAGGTCAACATGGTTTTCTTTTACAAAACCATGTGGACTTTTCCTGATTACTTCACTTATTTCCAAGTATTCAGTTATAATATTCGTAATGATTGATTCTTACACCTTCCCCATGACAGCGAGGAAGATAAATAGCCTATAGTTTCTAGCTCTCTGCTTCTGATCCTTCCTGAAGAGAGGGGTTATATTTGCTACTTGCCAATCTGATAGAACCTTTTCAGAACCTAGCGAAATTTGGAAAATTAATATCAAAATATTTATGAGCTTAGAAATGCAGATCCCATTGAGGGGCAAACATAAACCTATTTTTTCTGGTCAACCTGTTCAGAAATGATATTATACACATCTGAAACAGGTGGGCCTGGAACATGGGCCTTCCAGTCCAGGGGCAGAAACATGATCACTGCACCACAAGAGGGCCTTTAAGTGTCAAGCATTATAACTCCAAAGTTGATTTAGAGTTGGTGATGCTCATTGGACTACGTTATTCCCTATGAAGGGTGAGTGCTCTTCTGGTGCAGTGGAAGTGTCCTTATGTCTCAACTATGTACTCTCGCGTTCAAATTACACCTGCCCTAGTGGTGTGTAATAACATTTCTCAACAGGTCGATTGGAGGTGGGGGGGGGGGTTGGTGGGGAATATCCATAGTGCTCCCCAGTGGTGAGTTGGCTTCCAGATAGGACAAAATTGAAACTGATGCTTGTATTAAGCCATAGATTTATAATAATACTGTTGCCAATCTCTTAAAGTATTTTACTATTTAAATCAACAAATGGATATTGGTCTGTTCAACATCAGTCACCTCTTTAAGACCCTGAAAGTATTTTACAAGGTACCTCTTAAAAGTTCAATGTAGGAGCTCATGGTATATTGGAAATAAATGGGTACGGATAGAATATTGGATAAATGGCAGGCTACCGAGGCTTATCTTATGAAGAAAGCTTTAGTAGTTTTAATAATCCATTGTGAATTTAGAAAAATTACAGGCAATGTTATTGAAATATACATGATTGAAATATATATGGTTGAAAGGATGGGTGAATACCAGGAGGTTGCCTCCTCTTGTGCAGGAAGCAAGAACTAGTGGACACAGTTTAAGGAATTAGTTCTCCCTTTGAAGATGGAGGTGACGGGAACTTAATCGTTTCCCCACAGAACAATGGAGTCAGATAATTAAATGTATTCCAGGCTGAGTAAGATAGATTTTGAATTTGAAAATGAATCAAGGGCTAGGGGATAAAAATAGAAAGTGCTGATGAAACTCAGCAGGTCTGGCTGCGTCAGAGGAGACCGGAACAAAGTTAACATATTGAGTCCAGCATGACTTCTTTGGAACTGTCCAAAGAACACAGTCCTGAAGAGACATCCAGACTCGAAAGGTGTAGAGCTGGATGAACACAGCAGGCCAAGCAGCATCATAGGAGCATTCCATTGACGCGAGCAGACTTGCTGAGTTTCTCCAGCATTTTCTATTTTAATTTCAGATTTCCAGCATTCGTAGCATTTCAATTTTATCCAAGGATGGTAGGTGGAGGGCAGGAAAACAACAATCAAATCAACCACAATCTTATCAAATAGCGGTACAAACTCACAGGGGTGAATGCCCTACTCCTGCACTCATTTCTTACATTCTAGTAACAGAATCGGTGTGTGTATGTATAGGATTTTATGAATCACAATATTAAAATGGAGGAAAACTACTTCAATCTTAACTGCACTAATTCTTTTTCCTCACAGAGACACTTCCAATTCTTCGGGAGCAGTGCTGAGACGGAAGTGTTTTCGGCCGGAACGAAAACAGAAGTTGCTGGAAAACAGAGTGTGGAGCTTTCTGAAGAAGGGTCCCGACCCGAAACGTCAGCTTTCCAGCTCCTCTGATGCTGCCTGGCCTGCTGTGTTCATCCAGCTCTACACCTTGTTATCTCTGACTCCAGCATCTGCAGTTCTTCCCATCTCCGAGTTGCTGGAAAAGCTCAGCAGTTCTGAGGAAGGGTCATTGGACCTGAAACGTTAACTCTGATTTTTTTCTCTTCACAGATGCTGCCAGACCTGCTGAGCTTTTGCAGCAACTTCTGTTTTTGTTCCGGATGTTACAGCATCCGCAGTCCTTTCGGTTTTTGTTTTCCGCCGGACATTTGAGAGAGAGGGGAACGCTCCCTTGTACCGGAAGTGGTCCGTCCAGCAATTAGCACCGGGGTGTTGGCAGCGAGCATGGAGTCGTTACTGATGGTGGTGGACTTGCTGCAGCGACTGGATGGTGTGTTGCAGTCCGGTTTTTCATCCACTGTACAGGAGTTGTGCCGCTGGTGCCGGCACGGAGGAGAGCAAGGGGCGCTCGATGCCGGTCGGGTGGAGGTATTTGGGCTCTTGGTGGAAAAGCTGGCGCCGGGTGCCGAGGACCGCGATGTCTCCAGCTCCTTGCGGGACCTGGCCGTTGGCTGGTGCCTGCCGCTTTTGCGGCATTTGCAGCTGGAGGAGCCGAGCTGGAGGCTGGTGTACTCCCTCTGCGGTCTGCTCCACGCCTGCTGCCGGCAGGCCCCGCCGACCCTGCTTCGGGACGTGACCACCTCAAGCCTGAGTGATCTCCGGAGCTACACCGAGGAACGGGGCAGGGCCGGTTTGGTTGAGGGGAAGGGAGCTCGGAGCGGCGAGTCCCAGGTCCCCGAGTACTCGGACATTCGAGTCGCCGTCGAGGTGCTGGTGAGGACGGCGCCGCTGCTGCTTCTGGAGCCAGGAGCCGGGGCACAGGAGCTGCTACCGCTTGCCCTGACCGCCGTCAGAGTGGGGGAGGACAGCGTGGCATCCAGGATGGTCACCGGTCTGATCCCGGCTCTTCTTTGGCACCCCGGCAGCTCGGTGTCAAAGTGCCCGTCTGCTCAGGAGATCTGGGATCGCGTGAAACACTGGGGAAAGACCGGCTCCGTCTTCAGATCCCTGCTGTTGCTGAGCTCGCTTCCTCCCCATCTGCTGTTTGGCACCGGAGACCGGCCATCCCCCGACACCTTCGACCTCCGAATTTGCCTGGAGTTTTGGGAATTGGTGCAAACGGGTCTGGTGCAGCCGGATAACACTTCGCGCAAGAGAGCCATGTACCTGTTGAAGAGAGCTGTGGAAGTTTCGAATACATTGAGGAGTGAAATCCGCTCAGAGTCCCAGGCTGAATCCAGTACGTTGACAACTACTTAATTTGTAATAATAGTAATATTTACTGATAGAATTTAGTGCTGTTGGAATATAGGAGGAAGCAGCAAGTCCAATTAACTTTTTATCCCCATTTCCCAAATTCTGAAATTCTTTGTGACAGTTGTTATAGTTTGTTCTGCTGTAAATAAGGTTTGAGGATGAGGAAGATATACTACATCTGAAGAGTGGTGCCAAAGCTCAACAGCGTTATACAGAAGCAAAATATGAATGCGGGAAGTCTGAATTAAAAGCAGAAAATGCTGGAAAAATTCTTCATATTTACCATTACACCCTGAGTTGGTGTCTAATCGCCAAAAAACTACTCCCTGCCTGTGCCCCAGATACTATCACATCACATCACTCAGTGCAGAACTTAAAACCTCCGGGACTCTGTGCTTGGAGAATTTCCTCTTCATAGTTTCTTTATGCAGCAGAGACTCTGAAGACCAATTAAACTTAGATCAGATTGAATTCTCAAGAATTCAGACTTCCCGTGCTCTGAAAACCATCAGCACCTAAATGTGCCAGAACTGGCTGGGCAAAATAATGAAAACTTGTCTTGGCTGTAACTCTGAGTTGGGCTTCTCAGATTCCAAATGGGTGTTAGCCCCCTGGTTCTTACATAACAAGATGCCTGTTTTGTATGCACTGCTAGATTTCAGATTAAATATTCCTTTCCAAATGTTTGGGGTCTACATGAGTAACACATCAAGGCACTTCCTAGCCAGCCTTACTCTGAATGTTTCACAACTAGGATTGAAATAGTTCTGTGTACGATGAAGTACAGCAATAAACATAGGAAATAGGCTATTCAACCTATGATCCTGTTCAGCCATTCAGTGAGATCATCGCTACTCTGTGGCCTAACTCCATATATCTGCTTTATGCCAATATCCCTTATATTCTTTGCTTAACAAAAAAATAAATGAAAGGAAATGTAGGCAGTCATGATATTTTGGTTAGTTTTCTCTAATTACCAAATAAACCTCATGATGTGCATAGATTTAGAGTTAATTGACATGGACTATGTTTCACCATGTTTTATAATTATTATCAAAAAATGTGAGTTAGGTAGTATATTAGATGTGATTATTGGAGACATTTGCTGAGTAGGGACTTTAGTTGAGAAAATGAAGGCCTGTGGCTAAAAGGCAAAAGTACAAATAGGATGCTGACAATGAGTGTCTTGGTGTTGGGGCCTAGTTGTGTGCGTGCAGAGTCATGATATAACCTCTACTTAGAATTAAAAAGTTGAATATCAAAGTTTGAAGAATAGCAAGACATAAACTGCCTAGGAGAAAGGGAAATGAGTGTACACTATTTAAATGAGAATACTTCATTTGTGAATAAACATAAAATTTGGTATTACCGTTGCAGTATTACATTTCTCAGTGTATTGGAGACCCGTTTTGAGAAACTTCCTTGCACGTCCGATGTTTGCTTGTCCCAGTCAAACTGATGGTCCTCATTGTCTGTGACACACCAGACATGCAATGGAATTTCTGGAAGGCTGGCTGTCAACACGGGATTCCATTAACAAACACGTGGAAATAGTCCGTGTATACAGACAACTGCTAAAACAACAGAACCGGAAGCGACAAGACCAGAAGATCATATAAATCCGGAGGGAAGCAGAACACCAATGCTTCGATTGGAGATCACACTGACGATGTTGCCTAGAAGGGTAACGAAACGTCTGCACACTACAGAACAACTGGCTTGGCGAGCTAACGAACCACTGCCTCCACAATCCGAGCTACGAATTTGCGGATTTTGATATTTAAAAGGAAATTTTCCTGTTATGATTTTTAATTTAAAACATGTAAATTTCTCAGTCCTGTTTTAATATGAGCCATTTTATTTTAGATACGTGCCTTTTTTGGTGGTCGGGTGAAAAAAGCAAACAGCTTGTCCAGTTATGGGAAAACTATATTTTAATAATGGAAACACTGGAAGAAAATCAAGTGAGTTACTCATGTCAATTACTTTTGTCCTTTTGAAAAGTGGTTCATTGTGAAGTATCAGCCTGAGCTAAATAATGCAGTTGACTATTGTGAAGAAATTTCAGGATTACACGTATGACATGTTGTGGGCTACTCTCATAAATGAAACTTGGCTCTTTACATTGTTGAGAGAACATTCACTATGCCTGATATCTGGCTTCCCACAAAACTGTATGGATCAAGAAGGAACTTGAGGGTCTTTGTGAATAACTTAAAAATACAAAGTAACCTCAGCCCCAGTTTGACAATAACTAAGTTGGTAGATTTTGAGCTTTCATCTATCTTGATAGATGAAAGGACTTGGGCAATTTATGGTGGAAAATTTTGTGAGCATATAATTGATGTTTTAAAAATGGTGAAGAAATTATATATGGGTTTATAAGAGACATTATGAATTTCTACGAATACTGAGTATTCACCCTCTAACTAGATTGGTGAGGCACTTAGTGATCATGGATTTTTTTTGCAGTAATTCGAAAGGAAATTGGATAAATTTCTCATTGAGGACATATGTATCCTTTCGTAGAAAGTAAATTGTGGATTAACTGGAAAGAATATGGATTATTGCCCTCCTGGAGCTCCACTGAATTGTATTAGAGAATTACTGAGTCATGGAGATTTAAAGGCCGAAAGGCCTCTTCCAGTGCAGTAATGTCTATGTTGGTCATCAAGCACCTGGTCTAGTCCTATTTTCCAGCACTTGGTTTGCAGCCTTGTATGCTGTGGCATTTTAAGTGTTCATCTGAATACTGCTTAACTGTTATGCTTTCTGTCTCTAACACCCTCTTAAGTAGTGAGTTCCAGATAGTCACTGCCCTCTGGGTGAAAGAATTCTTTCTTAAATTTAGAGTAAAAGTTTTCCTGTTCTTTACCCCTCCTTTTTTTTTTTTTTTTTTTTTTTGTTAATTTCCTGAGGATTGAGAACAGGTTGTTTGTGTGTGCCACAAGTGTACCTGATAGTCCTAGGTAGGAGTGGTTTGGGCATTATGAACAGATGCTCTCTTTGTGTTTTTGCATGAGTGGAGTCATAGAAAAAGGTCGTTTGGTCCATTTGAGTCTGTACCAGTCAAAAACACCACCTAATTATTCTAATCCCATTGTCCAGCACATGGCCTGTAGCTTTGGCCCCACAAGTATATATATAAATACTTTTAGAATGAAATTTAAACGAGCATCGTGATAGGATTGACAAAGATAATAACAAGCTAATTTTATTTTTTTAAAAAATGATTCACTGTTCAAAATTTTCTTTGGAAAAATTATATTAGTGAGGCGACTGAAAATGTAAATCTTTTGATTTTGTGTTTTAGGTTCATGTCATAAGACCAGTATTACCCCGACTCAAGAGTTTAATGGATGCCACTGTTTCAAATGACAAAGGTGATTAGAACACTTCATTGGGTTTTTTTTCAATCATTGCAATGTTTACTAATATTTTTATATTGCTCACATGTTTTGGTAGGGTGTCTTCTCAGCTTAAATGCTCTTCAGTTATGGAGTTCCATTGAAGGGCATTTCATCGGTGCCTCAAAAGGGCAACTCTGCAATCCATTCATCCTCTTAGACTTTTTCAGTGACATTTTCTCTCTGTTGTTGGGAATGGGCAAGCATTTCTGTGTTGTTACTTCACTAGGTTGTATCTCATTTAACCATATTCCTGATACTGCTCCTGGTATGCCCATCAGCACTCTTCATTAAACTAGATTTGATCTTCTGACATGATCTTCTGGTCAGGGTAGAGTGAGCAATATGCCAAACCATGAGATTACAGATTGTGGTTGAATGTAATTCTGCTGTGCCTTGTGTGTGACCAGTTTTCAGTTGCTCGATTTATTGGAAGTCTGTTCCATTTAGCACAGTGATTTGTAGTAAGGAAGGTATCATCAATGTGAAGAATGGACTTCATCTCCACTCTGGTGGGTCTCTTCGACTGACTGTCAAGGTCAAACACGTGTGCAACAGATGGATTGGTGAGGATGAGGTCAAGTAACTTTTTCCAAACCCATGTTTGACCCAATACCATGAGATTTCACTGGTCTAGAGGATTCCCAGGGCAAATGCTCCCAACTCTGTACCTGCTGTCATAACATCCTTTGGGTTCACAGTTGACCAGAAGCTTAACTGAACTGGCTGTATAAGTAGAGGTCAACATCAGTAAGATAGAGATTGGGAATTCTTTCAGATGTGACACATTTCTTGACTCCAAAAGCCTATTGACCATTAACCTGGCACAAATAAAGTGTTATGGAATACTGTGGCCTGGATACTGCCAATGCACAGTGGCAGCAGTAGATATCAGATACACTGCAGCAACTTACAAAGACTCCAACAAGAGCACTTTCTGAACCCTTGACTTCTCTCAACAAGAAGGACAAAGGGCAGTAGATGCTTGAGAACATCAAACCTGCAAGTTCTTATCCAAGTCACAGCTATCCAAAATTTGAAAAATACTGCCACTGAAGTTCCCTTATTTTAAGTGCTCGGTGTGTCTACACCATATAAACTACAGCTTGAGTGGCAGCTCACTTCCTTCAGCAATTGATAACGGGCAATAAAGGTTGCCCATGCCTGTGCTGCTAATGAATGAGTAAAACAAAAAGTAAAGGAAAGATTCAGCAAGTTCTGTTTTGCATGTTGTACAGCTCCGATGCAGCCCATATCTTCACTCAATGTAGAAATATAGAAAGTAAGAAGTGGAGTAGGCTATTTGGCCCTTCGAGCCTGCTCCACTATTCATTATGATGATGGCTGATCATCCAACTCAGTGTGTTCCTACTTTTTCCTCCCATATCCTTTAATTCCTTTAGCCCCAAGTGTTTTATCCAACTCCTCCTTCAAATCATACCATGTTTTGGTCTTAACTGCTTTCATGTAGCTTGACTAAATCATGCTGATGCATCTCTGCATCCTTCTCTTCACCCTCCCACTTAACATTGTCCTTCTGCAAGTTTGGATACATTGCATTCAGTCGCAATATTCAAATTGCTAATAGATATTGTGACATAATTTGCTTTTGGTCCCTCAGCACCTCAATGTAAAATTCTTAATCTTGAGTTTTTAATCTTGTTGCTCCCCGTATCTCCTCTTCTCCAGCTCCACTTATAACTGCATTTTCTCCTCCACCTCTATACCCTGTTCTGACCCCCTCCTGCCCAAACTCCACACTTCACCCCTGTTCGTTTTATTTTGCTGTTTGTACATTTTACCTTCTGTACCATTGATTCTATCTTGAGCTACGTAGGTTTCATGTTAGTATTTCCTTCTTTAAATCATCTGCATCTCAGCTAACTTCTTTTCAAGGACCTTCTTGATCCAGTTTTGGCTGTGCATTTGATTTGTCTGATTCACACTTCCATAAAGTGCTTTGGGATAGTTTTCTATGTAAGTTTAAATTATTGCTGTTACATTTACAAAAAATTCTGCAGGGTCAGATTGGCTGCTGCAGTTCCTCTTTTATGAAGTTTTCCACTTCAAAACTGCTTAATATGGCTTATACTCACAGGCAATATATTTAAAACCTTTTGTTGACACCTGCTGCCCCAATGTCACTTATTCCTCTATAGAAAATTAACAAGTTGTTCTGCTTGCTGCATTAACTAATCTGCATCAAGTCCTTTACAACCATAACCTCTTTTAAAAAAAAAAAAAACTTTTGCAAGCTACCAAGTCTAATATGAAGAAAATGAGCACTTTTCCCTGTTAAGAGCCATTTCACTTCATTGTATGTGGAGATTTTTTAACTTATCTAATTTGTTTCTCACTTTGCTCTGCTGTTTTGAATCACAGATGGTAGGAGGGGTAGGTATAAATATCAACACAGACTGGTTGAGCTTAGACAAAACAATAAAATAATTCAAGAAAATTTGGGCTTAAATAGTTTCAATTTGTTGGGCTTCCAGTTAATTACAAACTCTCTTGCATAGTTGAATGAATAGTTGAAACTGTCATATGGTTTTGTGAGTTTGTGATTTTTTTTTTCCCAGATAGAACTTCCCGCGGAGGATGGCAACCTGGCAATCAATCATTATTCACTCTCAAAGGGCTTTCCAACATGGAAGTAGTGGAGCTTTAAGCAAGTTCTAACAGCTGTAATAGATCTCCGGCTCTAATAGTTCTCACTGAAGGCTCACTGTAATTTTCAAGTCTTGGAATGAGGTCACGGGGAAAAAGTTTTGGAAATGTTTCCCTAGTTTGTAAAACTAGCTGCCCTTATCTCTGAGTGTCAAGACTGTTTTATCTATTTGGGATGAGAGGGGTATAGAAGGGAAGAAAGTTTGATTAAATATATGGTATTCTAAATTTGGAGGAATTGAGTTACCTGACTTTAGATTCTAAATGTTTAATTGTTTTATTTTGCAGAATAGATGCATGGAAAAAAGCTGATTAACTGGTTGTTTATATACCTAGGTCATTCATTTTTTCACACATCTTGGCTCCTTTGTGCTTATAAACGAATATTTGAAACTGAAAACAAAACTGCAATGAAAGAAAGCCTGTTCCAGTTTCTTGATCTTGGTGTCACAAAATATCCCTTCAGAACTCAAGATCTTTGTGAGGTAAGTTGTAAAATTTGCTGCAATTGATAGGTGACAAATTGTTGGCTACAATCTTCTAGTTTTCCTACAGCAAAAGAAGAAAGGAAGATCAGACCTTTCTTGAAGGTGTGGGTTGGTGTCTTTTTTAATGAAGGTTCTTGACCTGGGTCAGCATCAGGTAATGTTGACATTCTGTTTTGGAATCTATATGTCCTTCTCGATCATTCAATGAACAACATTCAAAGGTGCTGCTGATGTGTTATGTGGCATGGAAAGTATGTCATATGAGTGCCATCATTTGCTTTAAGATTCTTTAAATTCTCTACAGTTCATAATTTTCTAATTATTGAAGGATACTTTCACTTGAATACAGCAAATCATATATTCTGATTAAAGTACTCAACTTAGAGTCATGGAGATGTACAGCATGAAAACAAACCCTTCAGTCTAACTTGTCCATGCTGACCAGATATCCCAAATTAAGCTAGTCCCATTTGCCAGCATTTGGCCCATATCCCTCTAAACCCATCCTATGCATACACTGATCCAGCCTCCTCCACTTCCTTGGCAGCTCATACCATCCACGTACCCACCCTCTGCGTGAAAAAGTTGTCCCTTAGGTCCCTTTTAAATCTTTCCCCTCTTACCTTAAACCTATGCCCTCTAGTTTTGGACTCCCCTACGTTGGGGAAAAGACCTTAGCTACTTCCCCTACCTATGCCCCGCGTGATTTTATGAAGTTTTACAAGGTCATCGTTCAACCTCCGATGCTCCAGGGAAAATAGCCCCAGACTATTCAGCCTTTCCCTATAGCTCAAACCCTCCAACCCTAACAACATCCTTGCAAATCTCTTTTGAACCCTTTCCAGATTAACAACATCTTTCCTATAGAGAGAGACCAGAATTAAATGCAGTATTCCAAAAGTGGCCAAATCAATGTCCTATACAACTGCAACATGACCTCATTGCACTCACCGATTCAAGCATATCAAATGCTGCCTTCGCTACCTGTCTACCTGTGACTCCACTATTAAGAAACTATGAACCTGCTGTCCAAGGTCCCTTTGTTCAGCAACACTCCCGGTCATTACTTCTGTCGAGGAACTGCTCGTCGTATGTGTGAAAATGAAGCACTGCACACAGTATTCAGTCGTTGTTGAACTACATTTATCCTCAACTGCAGATTTTTGTTTTCAATCAGTTACTATATTTAGGTCTAATAGAATGCTGTATTAAAAGTAGAATCTCTGGAATTCTGAATGCAAGCTAATTTGAAGTGAAATTAGAGGTGGTTTTCAGAACTTTCAATGTTTCCTCCTCTGAATAACATGACTGTTAGGTCCATTTTACATGCACCCAGGTCCAAATCCTAGGTGGTCACGATCATGATCATTTCTGAAATGAGAGCAGAATATGCTGGAAGTGCTCAGGTCATATAGTATCTGTGCAGCAAAACCAAGTTAATGTTTCTGATGACCTTTACGCCACCTTTTTTATTAACAACATACCTTTAACATGGATGAATGTTCCAGAGGTGCTACATGGAAGCATTGCCAAAATTGGGTGCTACCATGTTACAGAGGAGGTAGTGCTGGACATCTTAAAACGCATAAAGGTGGATAAATCCCCAGGACCAGATCAGGTGTACTCTACAACTTTGTGGCAAGCTAGGGAAGTGATTGCTGGGCCCCTTGCTGAGATATTTATATCATCGATAGCCATGGGTGAGGTATCAGAAACATGGAGGCTGGCTAATGTGGTGCCATTACTTAGGAAATGCGGAAAGGAAAAGCCAGGGAACTATAAATCGGTGAGACTGACATCAGTGATGGGCAAGTTATTGATGGGGTTTCTGAGAAACAGGATTTACATATATGTGTAAAGGCAAGGACTGATTCAACATGGCTTTGTGTGCAGGAAATCGTGTCTCACTAACTTAAGATTGAGTTTTTTGAAAAAGTGACAAAAGGGATTGTTGAGGGCAGAGCGGTGGACGTTGTCTGTATGGACTTCACTATGGCATTCGACAAGGATCTACATGGTTGACTGGTTATCAAGGTTAGATCACATGGAATACAGGGAGAACTAGCCATTTGGATACAAAATTGGCTGGAAGGTAGGTGACTGAGGATGGTGGTGGAGGGTTGTTTTTCAGACTGGAGGCATGTGACCAGTGGTGTGCTGCAATGATTGGCACCTTTTGTCATTTATATAAATGATTTAGATGTGAACATGGGAGGAATGGTTAGTAAGTTTGCAGATGACACCAAAACTGGTCTGTAGTGGACAGCAAAGAAGGTTATCTCTGAGCACAATAGGACCTCAGGCCAATAGGCTGAGGAGTGGCAGATGGAGTTTTATCTAGATAAATGTGATGTGCATTTTGGTAGGGCAAATTAGAGCAGGACACCTAATAGTAAGGACCTGGGGAGTGAGTTTAATTCTTTTCTACTCTATTAGATAAGATATAGGAACAAAATTAGGCCATTTGGCCCATTGAATTTGTTGCGCCATTTAATCAAGGCATGTTTCTCAACCCAAGAACCTCTCTGTCTCTGCCTTTAAAGACACTCGATGCCACAGCCTGTTGTAGAGGCCAAGTCAATGAGTTCCACAGATTAACCTGATCAAGTATTGGGGAAGCAATAGTTAGAAGTTTTGCTGAAATAACGATGTACCATAAATTTTGGAAAGTGTGCCTGTGTTTGTAACAAGCTGAAGGTTGCAGCTGTTCTTCCCATGGCTGGGGCTGCTGCCTGTATTCAATGGAACATTGTTAACTGCACTGCTTATCTGCTTAAGACACATGTGAACAGTATGGGATGTGATAACATTTAGTCATGTCGGGTAGAGAAATATGTATGTTAATCACACACTAGGTCTATAAACTGTACTGCTTTTATGTTATACACAAGTCCGACGAGAGTCCACCAAATGAGAGCTTGACTGTTACTCTGGTGCTGACTCCGGACCTCTCGCCGGCTAAGTTAAAATAAAGAATTTAATGGAACTCTTGTGGGGTCCGGAAGTTTTTTGAGTCAACAAACAGCCCTCTGGCTGAAGAAATTCTAAAGGGTCAGTTCTAAAGGGTCATCCCTTCACTCTGAGGGTGTGCCCTTAGGTCTGAGTCCCTCCTATCATCTCCACATCCACTGTTACCAGGCCTGTAATTATTCTATAGGTTTCATTGAGATCCCCCTCATCCTTTTAAACGCAGAATGCTTCAACTGTTCCTCCTATGACAAGCCCTTTGTCCCTGTGATTGTTTTTATAAACAACCTCTGGAACCCTCTAATGGCAGCACATCCTGAGATATGGAGCCCAGACTGCTTACAATATTCCAAATTCAGTGTGACCAGAATATTGTACAGCTTTTGTATTATAGTCTGCTCTTCTATTCTAGCCCTCTTGAAATGAATGCTAACATTGCAATTGCCATCCTAAATGTCAACTGAACCTGCATATTAACTGCAAGAGAATCCTGAACTAGGACTCCTAAATCCCTTTGAGCTTCAGATCTCCAAAGACTTTCACCATTTCGTAAATATTCTGGGCCTCTATTCTTCTGGCCAAACTGCAAAATCTCTCACTTTCCCACATTGCATTCCATCTATTGCCTCTTTGCCCCCCTCCTAGCCTGTTCAAATCCTCAATACTACCTGGCTCCACACCTAACTTGTGTCTTTTGCAAACTTAGCAGTAATGTCCTCAGTTACTTTGTCCAGATGGTTAATGTAGAATGTGAACAGTTGTGGTACCAACACTGACCCCGAAGAACTCCACTGGTCATCGGCTGTGATCCTGAAGAAAACCCCTTTATCCTCACTCTCTGCCTTCTGCCAATCAGCCAATCTGCTATTCATGCCAGTACCTTCCCCTAACACCATGGGTTCTTCTCTTATTAGCAGCCTCCTGTGCGGCACCTTGTCAGAGGCTTTCTAGAAATCTTAATTGATCATGTCCACTGGCTGCCCTTTGTTTAACTTGCTCGTTACCTCCTCAAAGAATTCTAACAGATTTGACAGGCATGATCTCCCCTTGTTGAAGTTGTGCTGACTAAGCCACATTTGCCATACACTTCCAAGTATTCTGCAATCTCTTCATTAACAGCGACTGATGTCAGGCTAACTGGCCTATAACTTCCTGACTTCTGCCTCCCTCCCTCCATAAACAGTGTTACCTGAGCCTTTTTCCAGTCTCTCTCTGACTGCAGTGATTCCTGAAAGATCACCAAGAATGCCTCTACAATATCCTCAGTTATCTCCTTCAGAAGTCTGGGGTGTAGTCCATCTGACCCAGGCAACTTATTCACCATCAGACCTTTCAGCTTCCCCAGCACCTTCTCTGTTGAAATTCTGGTATGCTGCTGGAGTCTTTCACTGTGAAAACTGATGCAAAGTATTGATTCAGTTCCTCTGCCATTTCTTTATTCCCCATTACTACTTCTCCATCCTTATTTTCCAGTTTTTCAATGCCCACTTTTACGTGTAATATCTTATAAAAGATTGCAAGAGGTTTTTTTTTTTATTATTACCTAGCTTACCTGCATATTTCATTCCCCCCCCCCCCTTCCCCCCCCCCCCCCCCGCCCAACACCTTGCTTTTTAGCTATCATCTGCTGATTTTTAAAAAAAGTTTCCCAATCCTCTGGCTTCTGTGACGATAATATGGCTTTAGGAGGTTTATTATGTCCTTTTTTTATTTGGAGAGGTTTTGAGCCATAGGTGCTGAGCTGCCTCTTCCAAACCAATAAAGTAAACAACTGAGGCCTTGGGCTTTTATTTTTAAAGTTGGAACAATAGAAGCAGTATGAATGGGTGGAGTCAGGCTCCTAGAAAACCATAATTTTAATTTAGCTTTTAGTAGTTGTTGGGGCTTTGAAGTTAGTTGTAGAAGCTGCCATATCCCTCCCTCTCTCTACCAGAATTTTGTGTTATTTCCTCTTGAGAAACATTGCATGTGAGACAGTGTATTTTACAGACTTTGCCTTTGCCAAGGGTGTGTTTATGGATGTTATGATATTGGAACAGTTGCTGTTTAGTAATTAAATAATCTATTGTTCTGTTAAGTTTCCAATAGAGTTAAAGTGTAAAAATTCTTCTTTCTTTGTTTGAATTTTAACTTTAGGGTAAGAATAAAGTGTGTTTTGCTTAAAGCCGAGTAGTGTAACTAATCGAATTACATCTGGAACACAGTACCTTACACTTACGTAGAAATAAAATAAAAGTCAGGGTCTAGGCTATCTCCTTGAAATATTTGAAGGGGAATTAGTCTGGTCCATAAGTCTCCCACAAATCTTCACCAGACTGTATGCTTTTTCTTTGGCTTTTACGCTGTGTTGACTTCCATTATCAGCCACGGTTGCCTCATCCTCCCTGAGTATGTTTCTTCCTTGGAAGGCAAGGCAGAAATTTATTCTGAATTACCCACAGAAATCCCTGCCATTGCTACTTCACTGTCTTCCTTGCTGGGCTTCCCTTCCAATCAACTCTAGCCAGCTCCTCCCTCATGTCTTCGTAGTCAGTTACTCCGTTGACATTACTCATTTGTCATGCCGTAACATCTGATTCCAGCTTCTTCTCAAGCTGTTATTATGGTCACTGTCCCCTATGGGGGTTCCTTCACCTTAAGATCCCTAATCAAGTCAGTTTTGTTACACATCACCAAATCCAGAATTGCCTGTTCCCTATTGAGCTCTACCACAAGCTGCTAAAAAACACCATCTCAAAGACATTCCACAAATTCCTTTTCCTGATTTTACCAGTTCGCCTGCATATTGAAGTCCCCTGTGATGATGATACCTTTCTTACAAGCCTTTTCTATGTGCTGATTTATTTTTTGTCCCAATCCTGACTACTATTTCGAGTCCTGTACTTTATCAATTCTACCCACATAGTCTACACCTTCCGATCCAATATCACTTCTTGCTATTGATTTTAATTTAATTTCTTACTAAAAAGGCAACCCTGTCCCCTCTGCCAATCTGCTTGTACTTTGGATAGGATATTAATGGAGGAGGTGATGGCCTAGTGGTATTATCGCTGGACTGTTAATCCAGCGACCTAGCTAATGTTCAGAAGACTTGGGTTCTAATCCTGCCATGGTAGATGGTGGAATTTGAATCCAATAAAAATGTGGAATTAAGAGTCTAACGATGGCTGGCCATGAATCCATTGTCGGAAAAACCCACCTGGTTCACTAATGTCCTTTAGGGAAAGAAACCGCAATACTCATCTGGTCTGGCCTACGTGTGACTCCAGACCCACAGCAATGTGGTTGATTGTTAACTGCTGTCTGGGTAGTGAGGAATGGGCAATACTTGCTGGCCTAGCCAGTGATGCCCACATCCCGTGAATGAACAAAAAAAAATTAGTTCTCAGCCCTGATTCCCTTGCAGCCATGTCTCTGTATTGCCCACTACATCATACCTGCCTATTTCAATCTGTGCTACAAACTTAGTTGCCTTGTTTTGTATACTGCGAACTTAAAAGACAACACCCTAGTCCTGTGTAGATTGTTCCCCTTCTCAGCGTTGTTCTCTTATTTGCTGTGCCCGAAGTTAGATTCCTGAACCTTTCCACATTCTCTGTCCTATTACTTATTCTGAAAAGTTGAATAACCTCTGCTGCTTCCGTCCCTCATTTTAAAGTAGACTTCTTATTGCCCTGTCTGTTTATTCCAAATCCAAGAACGCATTTTACAATTTCAAACAATCCTAATTGATTTTTTTCTTTAAATTTAAGTTTGTCTGTGGGCCAGTGATGGATGCTCTTTCAGAAAGTACGTTTTACAGCAGGTGTGTAAGTATTTTAGTTCCTACATTTCCTGTCTTTTTTTTTTGTAGTTGGAAATCACATGACACCAGGTTATATTCCAAATTTTCAGAGCCTCACTCCTCTTTCAGGTGTTAGTGAGAGAGGTCGTTTCAGACACAGAATTTATAAGTAAAAGAAGAAAGGGTCTCGCCACTGATGATGTACTAAACAAACCTAAGATGCTGTTAAATCTTTAATCACTAAGGTTTTGGAGTAGATCTGTGGCTCGGGCTGTGGGTGTTGAAGTTGGTTGGCTCATCGAGCTGGTTTGTTGTTTTGCAGACGTTTCGTTACCGTGCTTGGTAACATCCTTAGTGCAGCCTCCGATGAAGCGTCGGTGTGTTTTCCTGCCTGGTTTTTAAACCCTGGGGTCCGTTGAGATGGATTGCCTGACTTCCGGGTTTCCTTCGTAGTGGAATGTATATGGGGTTGAGTTCAATGTGTTTATTCATAGCATGTTTCGTGGAGTGGCATGCTTCCAGGAATTCTCGTGCTTGTCTCTGCCTAGCCTGTCCCAGGATCTTGGTGTTGTCCCAGTCGAAGTCGTGGTTCTCCTTTGTCCGTGTGGATTGAGATGAGTGAGTATTGGTCATGTCTTTTTGTAGCCAGTTGGTGTTCATGTACTCTTGTTGTTAGTTTCCTTCTTGTTTGTCCGATGTAGTGTTTCTCGCAGTTTCTGCAGGGGATTTTGTAGATGACGTTGGTCCTGTCCGTGGTGGGGAGTGGGTCTTTAGTTCGGGTGAGCAGTTGTCATGGGGTTGACGTGGGCTTGTGTGCCACTCTGATGCCCAGTGGTTGTAGGAGTCTTGTGGTGAGTTCCGACGTGCTCCTGATGTAGGGTAGTGTGATAAGTGTGTCAGGGCGTGTAGAATCTTTCTGATGCTATTCTTGTAGGCATCTTCTGAGCCAGTTCTTTGGATATCCATTGTCCTTGAACACTTGGAAGAGGTATTCTTCTTCCTCTTGGCGTAGTTCCGTGTTGCTGCAGTGTTTGGTTGCCCTTTTAAATAGTGTTCGCATGCAGCTTCGTTTGTGTGTGCTGCAGTGGTTACTATTGAAGTTCAGTACCTGGTCTGCGCGTGTGAGCGAGCGGGAGGGAGCTTCTTTATATTGATAAAATCTTTAGTTCTCTCAGGGCAGTGACTTGAAAGAAATTCAGGGATTTACATGTACATATTAATCAATTAAAACTTTCCAACTGATTAAAGATTTAACAGCATCTTAGGTTTATTTAATACATCCTCATCAGTGGTGTGACCCTTTGATCTTTTACTTATAAATTCTTTGTCTGATTTCACCTCTCACTAACACCTGAAAAAGGAGCGAGGCTCTGAAAGCTTGTGTTTTCAAATAAACCTGTTGGACTCTAACCTGGTGTCGTGTGATTTCTCACTTTGTCCACCCCAGTACAGCACGGCACCTCCACCTCCACATCATGTGTTTTGTCATGTGATCTTTATCTGCTTTGATATGTCATTGCATTTCCACTTTTCAGATCTCCAGAACAGGTCATTGGCAGCCGTCCTATTCTAGCTGAGAAGTTACAGACGTTTTTTGTTAATTTCGTCGAAAATGTGGCTGAAGAATTCCAAGGTAGGTTCTTGTGATTAAGCAACCTGTTTTGCAAAATGTAGTCTTGATTGTGTTGTAGCTGTGTTTTTGACTCAGGATAGCACACAGTGATCTGTTGTGGAAAGTAGTCAAAACGAAGTGGCTGTAGCCACTGATTTTTATGCTGTGGTTCAAACATGGGAGGTTGCTTGAGTGTTACATGGTACCAGGAAATCATTTTTCAGTAATTAATTGTATGAATCCCATAGTTTGAATCATTTAGTTGGTGGCGTGGAGTAACATACCTCTAATCCAGAATGATCCACAGCATTCTGTGACTGAAGGAAACAACTGCACAGATTTTCATCCACCAGACTTTTTTTTTTTTTTTTTTTTAAAATCATGCAGTCTTTACTGTTGCACAGGACCTCCATGACTGTTGTCGTCTGTGACAGCAAATGATATATGGGAGCATCACAGGTGACTACTAGCTTTGCTTGGTATCCATGAACAAGTCTGTGCTCAGTGAGCAGGTGTGGTAGCTCCAACAACACTCACCACTCAAAATGCTTGACACTATACAGGTCAAGGCAACCTGCTTGAATGGCACCGCCTTTGATATTCATGACCTTCAACACAGACATAGTAGCAGTGTGTACAGTTTATATTATGAATTATAACAATCGTCAAGGCTCCTCACGTAACACCTTTCAAACTGGCAACCTCTACCACCAAGAAGGGCAAGAGCAGCAGATGCATAGGAATGCCATCAGCACTGCTAGTTTCCCTTCATGCTACACACCATCCTGACTTAGTACGATACTGTCATTCTTTTGCTTTTGCTGGGTTGAAACCCTGGAACTCCCTTCCTAACTCCGCACTCCCACCCTAATACCCTTCCTACCATGGGTGTACCAATACCACCTGGACTGTAGCAGGTGGCTGAGTGCCACTTTCTTTCGGGAAATTAGGGATGGGCATCAAATGCTGACAAGTTGTGACTTGTAATTTATTTTTAATGCCACTTTATAGTTTTCATTCATGTCCCTCTTTTTAAAAAGAAGTCTTAAGTTTAGTCTGAAACCATACCCCTTTTAAAAGGGGATCATTCTGTGTTCTAACTTGAACAATGCTACAGCCATGGAGAAGAAATTATAGAGTATGTTATACCTTTAAAATATGTTTGCGTTATAATATTCTGATAATTGGATCCTAAGTTAACACCTAGGCTGAAAGCACTTGTGTTGACAATGTATATTGAAATCCTTGGTAAGTTATAAGGCAATCACATTAATATTTAAGATTAAAACAAATAAGCATTGGAAACGCTGAAAATTCTGTGGTTTGTTTGTGGTCTTTTGAACTGCTTTATGTGAAAATTAAAAACAAAATGTTTTGTCTTCTTTGGTTAGGTGACTTTCTCATGAAGTTGATTAAGAGCATGGCTGCTAAACACTGGTGTGCTATCCCCATACTCTTCATCTCTCAAGCTCTCGTACATATTCCATCACGCAAAACTTGGGGAGTAGAAGGACTTCATGCTATTCGGTATGGATGTTCGTGGGCGACTCCCACGAACTTGGAACAATTTAAAAACTCCACATTTTAACAAGGAATAGAGTTAATGGCTGAAACAGAAACATAAGTTGCCATTCATGTTCAGAATGTATGGTTGGATGCATGAAAAAGTGTTGAATGGATGTGGGAACAATGTTTGTAAATGTGATTAGAAGTATTTGCTCGTGTGATGGGAGTATATGTCAATATGGACTGGTTGACAGTTTTCTCAGTCCAATGAGAAACTTCTTGAAATATCCAGTTTGGTAGTAGATATTTTGGAATACACAGGTATTTCAGTGCAAAGAACACCAAATGATGTGAGTTTTCTGATGAGTTATGAAATATGCTTAACTCTTGGAACTGAAATACAGGTACATTATCTCAAAACTGGCAACCTCTGGAGTAAGTACACAGTGGATTTTGGATCTTGCCAGTCTGGAGGAAAACTTTGGAACCTCAATTTAATTAATAGGAAAAACACAATCAAGTGAACATGTTTCTTTAAAGTTTGAAAAATAATGTGTAATTGTGGAAAAATTGTTTTTGGATAGATACTAAATCATATGGCAAGTAAGGCAGTCTTTGAGGCTCAAACAAGCAATGCTGGAGAAACTCTGTGGAGGAAGAAACCGAGTTAATGTTTCGAGTCCAGTATGACATTTTGGAGCTTTCAGACTGTGCTATATTCAATGTACAGTTGTTCTTATGAAACTACCAAAGAACTAAAGGTTGGTTGGGACCGAAAGTTGCCCAGGCCACTCATGCGGAATGTGGGAAAAGACTAGTGTGCAAAGCCGGTAAATAATCCAGTGTTCCATTGCAGCATCTAGCCATATTGTCCCTGTAAATAATTTTACTTATTGGATAGCAATTAAATTGATCCATGACAGCCTATACAAATGAGTGGCTTTTGGACAGCTGGATTTGAGACATCGTACCTATACTATTTTGTTTAATCTACGAAGGATTATATTTAGCTAAAAATCATTACTTGCCCTTTGAAAAATCCACAAAAATTTGCCCTGAATTTTTATATCTGCTACTTCACAGGGAAGTAATGTGCTGCACAATGACCAATCATCAAGTATTATTGCGAGGAGCAGCTCAGTGTTATCTTCTACAGACTGCAATGCACTTGACTAATGTGGTAAGAAAATATTGTTCATGTAACTTACACTTGCAAATAATCTTATTTAGCTGCTCGTGCTGGTGACTGACTAAAATATAAATATAGGATCCTGCAGACATGGTGTACGTTATATAGAATGTAGGTTTTTATTTTATACACTTCTTTCTTCTATCTTTCTCCACTTACACATTGTGAACATATATTGTACATCCCCCAAGAACACAGGATAGTCCAGTCAGCAAGTAGTCACAACAAATGCTGCAAAGTTGTTGAAATGAAATAAATAGGTAAATGCCACTCAGTCCCAGGCAATGAACATCCCCAACAAGTGAGAATCTAACCATCAGCCTCTTTAATATTATGTGGCATTACTATCATTGAATTCTAAAATCTGAAATCAAAAGTCCAATGAAACCATTGACGATTGTAGTGCAAATCATTCTGGTTTATTAATGCCTTTTTTAGGGATGTGACTCCAGGCTCATTTGGTGCTTATCTGTGGCATGAAGTACCCTTGAAAGCCAGTCAGTTCTCCCAAGCTGCTGAAATGTCTGAAGGGAATTGTGTACTGTAAACTGTGTGATTATATATTTCGAATGATTTTTGTCTTAAATTAGGGTTTCCAGTTTTTGTGTTCGTACCTAGATGGATTTTCTTTGTGTGATGTTAATTTCTGTTTGAAGCTTGGGTTTGTGCAATATTCATGGACTTTTTATTTAGATTGTTTTCAGACTGAGGTTTGTAACTTAGTTAGTTCAACAATGTTCTGTCTAAGCTGTGCAGCTGCTTGGAGGTTCTGTGTACACCTATCAGTGTTGTGCAGCATTGACATCTGTTTGCAGAAACCACTGCCACTTGTGGACCCTGGAAGTCTGTGCAACAGCAGAAAAAATTATAGGTATGCAGGTGTTTGATATGGATGTGCACCAAATCATCAGCCATGGCTGGGGTTGGAATGTAGTAATCAGTGGGAGATTTCCATATCCATGATGCCATGAGATTTCATGGGTCTGGAATCGATACTGAAGACTCCTATGGCCACGGTTTCCTAACTGTATATCAAAGTGCTTCCATCTCTGCTGGCTGTGTCTGTCAGTGGAATAGGACATACCCATTGATAATGACAAAAAACTGCAGATGCTGGAATTCAGGTAGACAAACAGAAGGCTGGATGAAGGTCCTGAAGAAGTGTAATACCCGAAACGTTGACTGCTCCCTTCCTCCAGATGCTGCCTAGCTGGCTGTGTTCTTCCAGCCTCCTGCTTATATACCCATTGATAATGTTGTCTAGCACATCTACTGATGGCTTATCTGGGTGCCCTTGTACACCAGTTGCTGAAAGTAAACATGCAGATACAGCTGGTGAAGAAAGAAGCAAATGGTATGTTGGCCTTTGTAGCAACAGTATTTGAGTACAGGAGCATGGAAGTTTTGCTACAGTTGTACGGAGGCCACTCCTGGACAATTGTGTGCAGTTTTGGTCTCCTCATCTGTGGAAAGATATTCTGGCTATGGAAGGTTTACCAGACTGATTCCTGGGTTAGCAAGATTGACACTTGAAGAGAAACTGAATTGGCTGAGGGTCACTGGACTCTTTCAAGAATCACCGATCTCAGCATTAACTGTTTCTCTGTCTAAAGATGCTGCCAGACCTGCTGAGTTTCTCCAGCACTTCTTGTTTGAGGCCAAAACATTGAACGTTTTCAAGAAAGCATTAGATGTAGTTCTTCAGGCTAAAAGGATCAAAGGTTTTGGAGAGCAAATGGGAGCAGGGACTGGGTATTGAGTTGTAGAGATGGCTCAAAGAGCTGAAATAAAGTAGTGTCATTAGCAGTTGCTTGGCAATAACCTGGTCACTGATACCGAGTTAGTGTTCCAGCAGGGCCACTCGACTCTTGACCTCATTACAACCTTGGCTCAGGCATGGACAAAAGAGCTGAATTCCATAGGACAAGCAAGCATTGCCCTTGCCAGATTTGACCGAGTGTAGCATCAAGGAATCCTCGTAAAACTTGGGGTGGCGGGGTGCAGGAAACACTCGGCTCGTTGGAGTTGTACCTTGCAAAAAAGGAAGATGATTGTGATTGTTGGATGTCAGCCATCTCAGCTCCAGGGCCTCCTTTCTGCAGGAATTTCTCACCCAACCATGTTTGGCTGCTTCATCAATTACCCTCCCACCATCATAAGGTCAGAAGTGGAGGTGTTTACTGATGATTGCAAAATGTTCAGTAACATTTGTGACTCCTCTGATTCTGAAGCAGTCCATGTCCAAATGCAGCTAGACCTAGACAACATTCAGGTTTCAAGTGGCAAGAAACATTTCCCGGCACTTGCGTGGCAATAATGAACTTCCCAACAAGTGAGAATCTAACCATCAGCCCCTTGATATTCAATGACATCACTATCATTGAATCCCCCACTATCAAAAACCTGGGGGTTACCATTGACCAGAAAATGAACTGGACTAGCTATATAAATATAGTGGCTACAACAGGTCAGAGGCTAGGAATCTTGCAGCGAATAACTCAACACCTGACTCCTCAATGCCTGTCTGACATCTGCAAAGCACAAGTTATTGCCTGATGAGTGCAGCTCCAGCAACATTGAAGAAGCTTGATACCATCCAGGACAAAGTAGCCTGCTTAATTAGCACCACATCCACAAACGTTCAGTCACTTGACCACCAATACCCCGGTAGCAGCAGTGTGTACCATATAGAAAGCGCATTGCAGAAAATCACCAAGGCTCCTTTAAAAATCATAAGTAACACAAACTTGAAGAGCAAGGTCTGCAGGTACATTGGAATCCCACCACCTGCAAGTTCCCCTCCATCCTTACTTGGAAATATCTCACTGTTCCTTCCGTATTGATATGTCAAAATCTGGAATCCCTCCCTAAACATTGTGTGTACGCCACAAAATTGGAGTGCAGCGTTTCAAGAAGGCAGCTTACACCACTTTCTACAGGGCAACTGGGAATGGGCAATAAAAGCTGGTTGATGCAGCAACACCCTCATCAAGAATGATGGGCATGACTGTACAGTATTTTAGATAATGGGTGAGCTATGCAATCTTTTGATGTATAATTTTAAAAAATACAAGCCTAAAGTTTCAGCAGTAGGCTAAGGTGATTCAAGCCTGTAAGATTTTGAAATGATGGAATTTGAAAGCCTAGAGAATTCTTAAATGGATAACTTGTAAGGACCCTATATTTTCTACAGTGGAGCACAAAGCTCTAGAATGAAATCTCTGCTTACATTTTTCTCTTCATTCTTTCATACAATGTGGCTGTCTCTGACCAGCATTTTTTTGCCCATCTCTCTTTGCTCTTTAACTTCCTTGGCCATTTTGGAGGGTAGTTGAAAGTCAACCACATTCTGTGGACCTGGAGTCACATGTAGGTCATACCAGCTAAGGGCATGAATGGACTAGTTGAGTGTTAACAACAGGTCATGGTCTGTATTCTTGGTACTAGCCTTTAGTTCCAGATCTTAATAATTGAATTCAGATCCCACTAGTTGATTTGAACCTCTCTTCCCAGAGCACTGTTCTATGCCTCTGGATTCCTAGTCCAATGATATTATCACCTCACTATTGTCTTCCCCTAGTCTTGTCAGTATTTTGAAAAGTAATAATCTTAGGAGACAAAGATGTCTCTGTTCTTGTCATCTCTTAAAGTTTTTCCCTTACCTTGTTTCTTTGGATGAAATTCCATCTCCTCTGTTGAACTGTTTTCATTTTCAGGATTCTTCAAATATGTAGTGATTTGACACTCACTCCACATTTAGAGCAGATAAGTGAGATCTGTAATCTGTTTTTTCTGTTTAAAGCAATTATTCTAATTTGTAAGTTGTCACTGTAATGCAGTTAAAATGTACTTTACCTTCTGCCACTGAAGATAAAAAGCGGTGTTTTTTTTTCCCTCTTAGGAAACAGTAACATTGTCTGACATTTCAAACTTCTTGGCATTTATTCGAACTGAAGAGGCTTTATCTCGGGGTACAAAATTGTGGATGGAGGTAGGAGGAGAAAAGTACCTGATGTGGGATTGATCCATTTGTTTTATATATCTGAAGTTTTGGAATTGATTTTGGTGCTTTATATATTTTAATTTTCTTCAAGGAAAGGGGAATTTGTACTTTTTCTGTAGTTTTTAAAATCTTTAATGTGGTATTTATTGTAAAATGCACTGATACTCATCAATATGGTAATTACATGGTGGGAATTGCATACTAATTGGTGTGCAAACTATTTTGATGCCATGTCATGTGGTTTGGCTGGCTGGCTGGGATCCAAGTGTTCCTGCATTAGATTCATATACAACTAGTTTGCTGATTTTCATCTTTCCTAATTTAGTCTTGTTATAATGCAGACCCTTGAGCACGAAGAAGAATTAGAGGTGACCATGCTAATTGTCAGTACATAGATTCTGCCTGTAATGGTTGAGTCTATCGTCAAATTCATCACCATGGATGGCATGGATAGAGAATTGTCTAATGGTTAGGAAACAGTGAATGGGATAGGGGTTTTTTCTTTGGGTGACCTATGACGTTATAAATGGATCAGGACTGGGACCGCAAATGCTGACAACATATGTTAATGATTTGGAGGAAGCAAGCAAATATACTGTTACCAAGATTTTTCAGATGACTCAAAAATGGGATATAAACAGTTTAGAGATATTCATAGGTTAAGTAAATGGGCAAAAAATTGGAGTATGGAGTATAATGTGGGAAAATGTGAAGTTGTTCATTTTGGAAGGGAGAACAAAAAAGAAAATTATCACTTCAATGGAGAAAAACTGCAGAAAACTGCAACATAAAGGAACTTGGGGATACTGTGTATGAAACACAAAGGTGCTATTGGGAGGTTCTATAATACAATCCCAATAAGGTGATCATCCCTTTCTTATTTCTCAGTTCCACCCATGTATTATGCCTTACATATTTTTCTTTTCCCAAAATATGATCCAAAGTGACTAAGTACTTTACTTTTAAGGCAATTTGTTTAGCGAGCTGGTTTTACAAAACACTGGATGTTCCGAATATTTAATGCTGCCCCTGAGATCAAACAGTCAGCTGTTGTATGATACTAGGTGAAATTCATCAGTTTGGCTGTCAAAACTATGGAGATCTTCCTGTCTTACAGCTGCAATAATTAATTATCTGCAAGCTCCCCTTTTTTTTTATCTCTTCTGTCTTTTATCTTGCCTGTCAATGATATCCTGTTTGAATAGCTGGTGTGTCAGATGATAAAAAGGTCAGAATACGAGCAATGCAATCTGCATGTGTGTTCGAATAAAATGCCTTTTTGGAGATAGTAAGGGTTTCTTCCAGATCCTTTTGGTCCATTCTGTGTTTGTATAATACAAGACCATGAAATGTCATTTACTTATTTTACTTATGAATAAAAGGGTTAACTGTTCACAAATATATTGCATCTTCCATGAATTTGAATTTAGTGGAGTCATAGCAAACTATTAATTACAGAGAGTAAAATGAATTTTATAAACCTTCAACATTGTCACTTCTGTTGTCAAGTTGCAAATTCATCCGAATTGATTCAGACATTTGTACTGAATTGTTTGCATCTTTAGTTAATCGAACAGATTTGACAAAACCTTTCATTTTATTTAAAAAAAAAGTTTGGCACAGGGTTTTCTTTTGGAATTTTTTGCAAATAAATATTAAACTAGAGGTAGACTGTGGAATTGAGATTTAATAGTGGAAAAGGGGAGGGCGAGCTGAATTTTAGCTACTTTTACAGATTGTGTGGGTGAGAACGTTAATTTACCACAGGTTCACAGGCCAGTAACTAAATTTGCTTAAATTTAATTCTGTGATTAACAAGGTAGTTAATTTGTTTTTTATTGTTTAGAGTTGTAGGGTTGTACAGCGCAGAAACAGACCCTTTGGTCCAACTTGCCCATGCCGACCAGATATCCTAAACTGATCTAGTCCCATTTGCCAGCATTTGGCCCATATCCCTCTAAACCATTCCTAGTCATATAACCATCCAGACGCCTTTTAAATGTTGTAATTGTACCAGCCTGCACCACTTCCTCTGGCAGCTCATTCCATACACGCACCACCCTCTGTATGAAAAAATTCGCCCTTTAGGTCCCTTCTAAATCTTTCTCTTCGCATCTTAAACCAATGCCCTCTAGTTTTGGACTCCCCCACCCCAGGGAAACAGTCTTGGCTATTCACCCTATCCATGCCTTTTGTGATTTTATAAACTTCTGAGGCCAACCTGCAGCCTCCAGGTAAAATAGCCCTAGCCTATTCAGCCTCTCCCTATAGGTCAAACCCTCCACCCCTGGTAACATCCTTATAAATCTTTCCTGAACCCTTTCAAGTTTCCCAACATCCTTTCTATAGCAGGGAGAGCAGAATTGAAATCAGTATTCCAAAAGTGGCCTAACCAGTGTCCTGTACAGCCACAACATGACCTTCCAACTCCTATATTCAATGCACTGATTATTTGCAAGTTTGTATTTCTATTCTATATGATGTGCTATATATTTGTGTTATACAATGGTGTTGTGGCTCAAGTGGAAATGTTCCTGCCTCTGACCCAGAAGCTCTGGGTTCAATGTCACACAGAATCCCTACAGTGTGGAAACAGGCCCTTTAGCCCAACAAGTCCACACCGACCCTCAGAGCATCCCACCCAGACACATCCCCCTATAACCCACCTAATCTACACATCCCTGAACACTACGGGCAATTTAGCATGGCCAAATCCACCTACGCTGCACATCTTTGGACTGTGGGAGGAAACCGGAGCTCCCGGAGGAAACCCACGCTGACACGGGGAGAACGTGCAAACTCCACACAGACAGTCGCCCGAGTGTGGAATCGAACCCAGGTCCCTGGTGCTGTGAGGTAGCAGTGCTAGCCACTGTGCCACCTGCCACCCCATTCAAGTCCCACTCCAGGACGTCATAACCAAGGAGGATGCATTCACCAAGCAGGTTGAGCATCAATTTGTAAATTCTTCTAGTACAAACCAATGGCAGGCAATAATAGCAAGAGAAATTTTTGGTTAGCCATGTGATAGAAAAGAAATTGGAGCCTCTATTATTATCATCCAAGGTTCCAAGCCTCAGCCAGAATGTAAAAGTGTGTTTCTCACAGAAATTTGTACTCTTTTGAAGAGTGGGTCAGTTTAGTTGGCTGGACAGCTGGTTTGGATCAGATTGGTACCAGCACCAAGTTTGATCCCCATTCCAGCTGGGATGTATTTGAGATCTGCTTCCTTGTACTATTCTTGATAGAGATTGTGGCGCTGTGGATCAGACTGCCTTTGGGCAGAGAACTCGGACGATATGTTTATCTAGAATCACTTATTTGGAAGGACACCACTGATATGAAAAATATGCAAAAACACTAACAAAATTGTTTGTTATTTATGAGGACATTTAGTTTCGGATATATGTTTCTGCATGTTGGAATGTGTAGCAAATGCTGTGTGTCTTTTTAAGGGCATGATTTCAGGTGGTCATCAGTATAAAAGTGCGCTTTTGTTTGGATTTGTAAAGTCCATGGGGATGACTGTATTTCTCATGTTAACTCCAAGTCTGCCGCCGTGCATTGATGAAAAGAAAGAGTTGCATTGGATCATTTACTTGGATCATTTCCCAATCTTGATCAATTGTTGCTCATTCAGGTCAGTAGGCAACAGTTATGTGTGATCTGTGCTAAGTTCTGCAAAGACTCCCTAACCCTGCAAAGTAAAGGTGCTGCTTTCTTCTTGTATTTTATTGAATATAGGGAATTATGTGTGATCTGATTACGAGTACTCCCCGGTGTTTAAAGAATTTGGTTTTGTAGATGCAGATAAAATATTTTCTCCAGATGGTGAATGCAGAACAAGAGATAACCTCAATATTAAGGTCATTGAGGTGTGATGTCAGGAAACACACCTTTATGCAAAGAGTTCCGAACATTTAGAACTTACTCAAAAACCTGCAACCGCTTGATCATTTTGAAGTTTTATAACTGAAATTGGCCGCATTTTGTTAGACAGGGTTACAGAACTAGGGTAGGTATTTCAAGTTGAGATACATGAATGGCGAAACATATTCAAGGGGCTGAATGGCCTACTTTTGTTCCAATATTCTTTTTCAATATTAGTCCATAGCCATGATGACCAGCCTCCAGAGCTGTTGGTTCACATTTGAGTGGAAGCAGGAAAATAATGATGGCCATTGCTATGTTAATTAAGGTAGGAGCTTTGATTAACTTCTGAGTTCTTCTGTGAGGGTAACAGCAGCAAGGTGCTGAAGTCCAAGAAAGTTTGGAACAATATAATTGATGGCATAAGGCACTTTGTCCACTTAGACAGATTGCAGATTCACACACACTCGCTATCACAAGATGAGCCGATGTTTAACAATCCAGTTGTACCATTTTGTTCCTGCTAGTGGAGCTGCTGATCTGCTGAGCATCATTACTCTCAGTGACACCACCAGCCGGAACTGAATGGCAATGCAACTCTGAAATACAATACCTTCAACTCCCTACTTTCCCCCAGTGAAAGAAATTCCATATGTATTGATTGTATTGATACAAAATAGTGTAGTGGACAATGTTTCATACTGGTTTGTAATTCCTATTTTGATGTTAAGTAATTTGAGAATGTGACTAAAGAAGAAACAACTGTACTGGTTATTTGATCACCATAAATTTAGGGCCCAAAAAGACTTATCCTGTGGTTGTGAAATGCATGATGTAAAAATATCACAAAGCATTTTGCAGCTCATAAAGTAATGTTAGAGTGTGTGACAAGGTCAAACAGACAGCAGTGTGGTAATAAAACCACACGATATAGTTGCAGAATTAGGCCATTTGGCCCACTGAGTTTGCTCCACCATTTGATCATGGCCGATATGTTTCTCAACCCCATTCTCCTGCCTTTTCTCCATAACCCTTGAAATCCTCACCAATCAAGAACCTATCTTTCTCTGTCTTAAATACACTCAATGACTTGGCCTCTGTGGGAATGAGTTCCACAG